GCTACCTTTGAAAACTGAATTATATTACTCATTGGGTTATCTCTCTCTTTAGAAGACTTTTGACTATTATGTTTAGACAAACTCTGTATATGTTTTTCCTTGTTAGGATGCTAAGATAAGAATAATACTGTTTTTCAGCCCCTCATGGTATCTATTGTTATCAAATATCTCAGTATGACAACTACTGGGGAAATACGATAAGCTTTTATTTTCAGGTAATGCTTTTACAAACAGCAGTCTGTATTTGTCCAAACCGCAAATCTTTTAATGAGAAATAGTTATTTTTGAAATTTTAATACCATTTTTCCCTAACCGAGTGTTATATGAACAAGACAGATGAGGCTTAAGCGTATGATACTGGCAGTGCTGATAGCCTAGAAAAAACAAGCATCTCCTTCACAATAAATACCTTTTAATATTTGGGAAAGATTGCCTGCATGTACAAGGACTAATTTTGTGTATTAATACAAATTAATCTATTATTTTTTTTAATCCTAAAAGATGCTGATACTGCTCATGATTTTATTAAGGTCTCAATTCAAAAAAAAGTATGTGTATGTGTGTGTAAAAAAAATTATATATGTATGTAAGTATATGTGTGTGTTATAGCCTACCTTACACGCATAAACATCTTTATATTTCATATTTCAACATCGTTGTTGTTTATCTCAAACACCAATTTTAAAAAAATGAAAAGAAACAACCAATAGCTCCATGATGACTGGCTGTAGGGGAACTTTGTTTTCTGTACATTAGGGTCTTGATGTTGTTTGACTTTAATGTTTTAAAGAAAAAGGTAAGCAAATTTTTTCTGTGAATGAGATAATTAGAAAGGACCTCTTCATCTCACTGGAGTCTGTGGCATCTAATAAGGTGCAGGCTCACAGCATGGGTTCGTATAGTGAGAAGCTTAATAGGCTCTGTCTTCTCCAGCTGCATACATGGTCGCAATGCATGTATGAACTTAATTACATTTGAAACCTTTTCACCGCTCATCTGTCAAAGTGGTTTGAAATGGCTGATGGCTTCAAATGTTGGAAAGGAGCAGGAGGGAGAAGAGGTAAGAACAAGGGCAAAATCGCCTTCCACATGTATGCACAAGCATTGCACAAATCTTGTTCCCTGAAGAAATGAGGCCGGAAGGGGTAGACAAAGAGTAGAAAGGAGAAATAACGCAACATCTGGAGGAGGAAATGAACAGGAAGAGTATATGGCCAGGCAGCTACATTGTGGAGTTGTAAAGGTGTTTTGTGTGGCTGTTGCAAAGGAAGAGGTTGAGGAGGTTTTGGAGGAAGAAAAAGTTGTTGCAGGAGGAATGGGGTAAGAAAGGTTCCATGAACAGGGAAACGTGTCTGGAAAAAGTCTTGGAAATGCCTGTGAGAGGGGTGAAAGAAGGGGACGTTGAGGTCAATGTCCCAGCAGATAGTGGGGCAACACAGTCCAAGACAGCTTCTTAGCTCTTGTGCAACTTAAAAAGCAGTGAACATGCATTTTGAAAATTGCACGTGTTCTCAGGGACTTGGCTTCACTGGAGCTGTAGGAGACAGCTGAGAGCTGAAGGCCAGAGGGACTAAGAGGCAGCTTTGAAAGAAGAGAGTAAAAATTGGAAATTGATAGAATTGGTTCAGCCAAGCCAAGGAATGAATTTTTAAAAAGTTAAGGGAAGTGATCATATTCCTCTAGGAGCACTGTTTTCTTGGTATGTTTTTGATGGATTGAGAAGGAAGGTATTGCAGCAGCCAGTTGAAAAGGTACAATATATATAGGTTTTATTTGCAGTTATGCATAGACATATGTTGCCTCATCTGGTCATAGCTGCAATAATGCTGTGCTATATTAAAATTATACATTTTACTATCAGTGCTTATTTTATTAACAAAGGGAATTTTTTATCAGATTGGTGTTTCATAGTGAGCTCGTTATGAAGTCTGATCAGTGATCGTATAATGAGGTTTCTATTGATATTTTGCTAGCAACTGCTGACATGTTGCTATACTAAGTCTTCCTGAGAGCTCACAGTTGCAAGTGAGGCTTGGGATGTTGTACCAAAATACTTTTCCTTTGGTAGTAAAGCTATTTTAAGAGGCTTTTGTCCTTACAGTTTCCCCAGCTGCTCATGCAGTCGTGTCTGTACAGCCATCTGTGGAGTTGTGCATGCAGAGTGGACCAGTGAAATGATCTGACCTGGGGAGGGGGAAGTAAGGGACGTTCTGTTATCCCGGTCTGATTTGCAGCGTGACCCCCCCAGAGGCATTGGTGCAAACTGATGGGAGGGGATCAGTTTATAAGCTGCGGAGACCCGCAGAGGAGGCAGCTCAGGGACTCCCTGCATTTTCTCCAGGAGCAAAGGCTGTGTTATATGGACCCGTCACCTTATCCATCCAAGTCGTGAGGTGTTTTTCAAAATATTACATATCGGTTATTGATTTTTAGTATACTTTGCCCCTTGCTGCCACCATTGCTGCCAGCTTCTGTGGTTTTTTCAGTAAGTCTTTGATGTTACACTTCAGTGTAACAAAAATGAGCGGTGTTTCAGTCCTTTTGCTTGTTTTTTAATGTCAACCAAGTTTTTTGGGGACCTTTCTAACATTCATTAAGAGCAATAATGCTAAAAATGTCATTATTTTCCTCATGAACCGTGAAACCAAACTAAATTGTAAAAGTATGAGAGAAGAGCATGCAATATCAGAAGCCAAAGCCTACCATGCAATTTTGTTTAGAGAAATGCTGGAGGCTTTGAAATGTCAACTAGATTCCAGTTGTGTAATTTGAGGATCAAATTGTATTAACATCCATACTTAAAGTAAAATAATACCGTTTGCTGGCTTGATTTCTTTCATTTTAAGTAATAGCGAGTTCATAAGTGAAAATGACTTTTTTAATTCAAGGTTTCAGGTCAGTTTCAGAATCTCAACAGTCACATTTTTGAAAGGAAAAATATATTTTTTTAATTTTTTTTTTTAAGATCTTGGCTAAAGTACTTTTTAACACAATTATAGTTCATAACCAAGCAGTTCAATTAACTTTTATCCTTTAATAAGCTCACACATCTCCTGAAACTCAGTAATGCTCTGAGCATGTGTCTGTGAGTAGGCCTAGTATAGTATGCATCTACTGTGCATGTGCCATGTACTGCATAAAACTTGCACTTTAAATTATAACTCTATGGCAAATAGCTTTTGTCAAGTGCCTTTTGGACCTTACCCACGTGCTATCTATGGTGTCCTCACTGTTGGACTGCTTTTAGGTTTCCTGAACTCTACCTACCTTCCAGTTTCTGCAGGCTTATTTTGAAGAGAATGAACTGTTCTTCTCCTTACATAATGTGAGCAGAAAGTATATATTGTTGGTTGATTGTATTACAGCAAATTGAGGTGCCTAGTCAAGTCTGACAGCTTTAAAGCTCGTTTCATCTTGTGAACCATCAGGCCAGCATTGGAAAGGAAAGGCAGCATTAGGAAAATCAGGAGAGATAGAGAAGCCCCCATGGGCTTACTAATGGACAGTTCCAAATGTGCTAACATTTCAGTAATTCTGCATATGGAAAAAAAAAGTTATAAAAATAAAACAAATCTATATTTGCAGTTACCATTCAGACATGGTTATAACTGAGTTCTTTGTACTGGCAACTTGTCTTGAGGTTTAAGTGAGGAAGGTGTAATGCCAACTGGCATTGTAAAACTGTTAAAGGCATATATAAATATGTATGCTCTAAGAAGTGATGGAAGAAGACAGCTGGGGAAGGGTCTTGTCACCCAGCTTAATTGAAATGCCACCACTTTTAAATATTGTTGCAGAGGTCTTGGCGCCCTGGGTGAGCTATTGGTAGTTTGTTCAGATATTATAATCCTTGCAGTGCTTTGCTACCTTTTCTGTTTTAAAATGTTTGAAGAATGTGTATTAGGGGGGAGTACCACCTTTGCAAAGCTATTAATGTCTGTAAAACCTCACCTGCAATGCTAATGAAGTCAAAATCTTGACTCCTCTTGCAGAAAGTACCAGTCCTGCCTAGTGTTTGGCTGCTTCTTGAATATAGAAAATAGACCAAATAGTTGAACAGCACAGACCTGCAGTACAAAAGGCAGAGGACTGCCACACCGACTAATAAAATATATTTTAGCAATGCCTCTAGAACTGTAAAAGAGGATGAGAAGAAATCAAATGCCGTGAAAGTTTTGCATAAGGCAGGCTATACAGAAAAAAAAAAAAAGCAATATATTTTATTAGCTCAAGTGATAAGAGAGAAAACAAACAAGCTTCTAGGCAGATAGGCATTTAAAACACTTTAACATGGAGCTTTAAGATGTTGAATGCACGTAGGTGACCTTTTTAAATGCTGGATTACATTTTCCTCTCACTAAGCCCTTCTGATTATAGCCCAGTCTACTGGGATGTTAGATTGTGCCCCTAGTTTAGCCTTGGCAGCTTCTTCTGAGTGTTCATCTCTGTTCATCTCTCTCTAGCTGGAAATGCTCTTCTCCCCTTTGGCTAAAAGTTTTACTTCCTCTAACTCCCTCCAGTAATTTCACCAGCTATTAGGTCAGGTCCCAAGACTCCCAGTGAATCAGCCAGATGCTTTTCTGAGCTTATTCATGTCTGGGCACCGCTCATGTCACGAATGGAAGCAATACCTGTGCTTGCCTTTGTCAGGGTGTTTGAAAACTGCTGCAGAAGGCAAAGTAGGCTTGTCTGGGGAAGTGAGGGCCGTCCAGAAGTAAACTGCAAGGCTGTGAGATGATGGTGCTTTTATAAATGAGGCTTCTTGAAGAGGAACTTTGAAAACCCTACAAAACTAAGAGGAGTTGAGCATTTTCCAGGAATATGTATTTTACAATTCTAGTAGTAGATTTTAGATATTTTTTGTGTGCTTTTACTATCGCTAGACAAGAATCACTGTTAAAAGACTGTATGTGCTAAATGCGTTATGCACCAGTGAAGAAAGTGCAAATATGCCAGTGCTGTTGAACACTTTTTTTCCTTCTTTTTTTCTTTTTTTTTAGATCACCTTTTGCTGCTGTGACAGATTACTCGGTAACAAGAAATAATGTCATACAGCTCTGTCTGGAACTAACAACAATTGTACAACAGGTATGAGACCATCTGCTTATACGTCTAATTAGTTTCTTCTTGCCTAATAGTAAATGACCAGTCACTTTTTCACACAGTTGTGTTACTCTGTATCCTTTTCTAATATAAAGTAGGGAATACGAGTGTTTAATAAATGCTTTATAAAAACTGTGCTTCCCGTTTTTATAGTGCTGGTTTGGACTATGCTGTGTCTACACTTCTGCACGTCTCAGTACTGAAATTCATCTTAGATTCTCTAGTCTAATATCATTACTATAAATTTGCAAAATCTATTTGATAATTTGCTTATCTAATTTCTTATATTTGTCAATAACTTTTAATTAACTTGTTGGCTCAAAAGATCTGTATGTATTGGAGTTTGGTTGTCTACTCTTTCATGCAGTTCATACCATCTGGGCTTTTGTAAAGATGGCACGTGTCCCCATGAGGCTGGAACATGACATAGACATTTTTGTACAGTCCACCTTCAAGAAAGCCAGAAGTAGATACAGAGAAGCACTTGCTTGACAGGCTTCATTTGGGAGTCCTGTCTAGAGAGCCTTCCCCAGCCGTTTTGTTGCACCTCTGTATATGGGCTGGATCTGTCCCTGTCTTTGCCTATTCCGGTAAAAGCGTAAAGTCTTTTCTGTTGCAAGTTCAAACTAGCGTTGATATCAACTGCATTAGAATTAACCTAGGAAATTAAAATAGTCATGTTCTACTGAGCATCATCTTTTACCCTGATGCAAGTGTTTCAGAGATCCATCCTATTATTCTCCAATATTCTTATAATTGAAAGGATGGCAATCAGTTATTTTCAGATTTCTTTTGATTTGCGTATATCAGCTCATTTAATAACCTTATATGTTATCTAGGTTTATAGTGTTTGGAGATCAGCTATGAATGCCCATTCTACAGGGAAATTTGAATTAGTTTTAGACTATCAAGAGAATCTGCACCGTTTTATCTAGAATTGTTTTTGTTTGTTGAAAATGCTAATCTGAAGGCTGCTTTTTTTGACAGTTATGATAACTGCCTAGGGGATAAATGGCATGAGGGATTAGAAAATAAATCCTGCATTTTGCGGGGATTTTAGTAAACGAAAAGAGCCTGTTCATTGCTGCTGGTTATTTTACCCGTTATGGATTGTTGCTGGTTTGGTTTTCTATTGTTTTATTTCTATGAATATCTGGTGTTCTTTACTTAAAAGTAGAGCTCAGCAAGTCCAACAGAGTTCAGTTTGAATAAAAAAAAAAAAAAAAGACTGTATAAGCTAATGGGCCTTGCAATTCATGTTTGAGGGAGTTGGAAGCTGGGGTTAGAAACTTGAGGGCTTGTTTACAGTTCAAGCAGTTCAATCCCCAATGAAAAGAGTCAGAGCTATCATTCTTCTTCAGCGCAACCTGCTATATTTCTTGCTGGTGACAGTGATCTATCTACAGTCAATAATGACCATAATAAGGAGTACGTGGAACGGAGGAAAATGAAGAAAGTAGGCTAGGTAGGGGCACTGAGGAAATTTTTCCCATCATCAGATGCATCACTCCAGTTCGAGCAATGTTAAACTCCTGTGGCCTCTTGACATGACTTTATTTGATGATACTCTCCGTCTTACACAAGAAATACGTTTTTCTTTGACCCTCTCACAAATCTGTACAATGCTAAAGATAGTTCGATTTGCATTCCCCCTGTGTTGGAGAAGAGCAGTACTGCTAGTGTCTATGTGTTCAAATTTTTCTTAATTTTCTTCTTCATTATTATTATTATTATTCTATCAATTTCTCCCAATTATGTTCACGTATTTTGAGGCAGAGGTGGATGGTGGATTATTGCCTCCCCACCATCCACACAGCATTTTTGCCTCCTGCACCAAGGTACAGGGAGCTTCCCCAGTCCCATCCTGCTATCCTGCACTCCCTGCCGGGCTTCTCACCATTGCCCAGACTCAAGCTGCGACAGAGTGTAAGCGGTGGTGGCTGCAGAAGAAGAGTTTGGGCCTTTGTTTTTTTTGGCTGGCTTTTGTGTTGAGTGTGCTTTTATTTGCTGTTTTGCACTCGTACTGTCAGAATCATTACCCTGAAAGGAGCGCGTAGGGGCATCCCTGCCCCTTGGCCATACTGTTCATTTTCTATCAACGTAGCAATGCATGGCTGTCTAGCTTTTTAAGTGAGGGGAAGAGCCCTCTGATCCATTTCGCATATCCACTGTCAATGAGAAAGTGGGTAAAATATCAACCACTGCAGTGTTTCCCAGGATTTAGCTCAATATCGTTTGCTTTCTTTCAAAATCATCCTTATCCATGACACTGCTAATTCGTCTGTGGTCCTCGAACAGTATACACGGAGAATGATTTACCTGTGTGAATGAGAGCAAATGCTATTATTTAATGCCTTGGGAGAAAAGAAATCTTATCTTTGCCAAAACTGACATGATTCCCCAATCTAGAAGCAGTTCAGTACATGAATCCATACTTTGAAGTCAAAAGGAGTATTTGTGCACCTAAATTTTAAGCATATTCTGAAATTCAATTGGGCTGCACTCAGAAGAATGATAATGAAAAATTCCATTACTAGTCCCAAACACATGTGGTTTGAGCTCTACTTAAAACAAACGCATTCCATCATAGCACTTCAAAACGCCTTCACTGAGCTTTTATTTTATATGATCATTGAACACACCGAAAATCCTCATTGTGCTTTCTTAAGGCTTTAAAATGAATGTCTCAACATTGCCTTATCAGGTGTTTTTCAATCTCAGAATCCCTCTTCTCTTGTGTATGAAGTACTTTATAGTGCTTCACTAATTTATAACTTAATTTATAAAGAATTTTTTTGGTTTATAAGAGGCCCACAGAAAGCAATGTTACAATTTGCTTATGTAACGCTAGCTACAGATTTCATAATGCCTAATGATGTATTAAAAACATAAACATGCAATCGGTACATTTTCTTAGGACAGTCATACTCTGCTATTTACTTTAGCAACTCAGCACTGGGAGAATCTGAAATTTTTTGTGTTGTTTACTTACAACCAATTTTCAGATGTATTAACTAAAAACTGTTCTTTATTTAAGATGTGAAAAAAATTAAAATTAAGCTGGCTGGCTTGTATTATTTTGCAGGTTTTAAGGCTAATTGTAATGTCAGTGTTTCTTCACAGGGTGAAGTTTTCTTTCCCTGTTATCAGTACTAAATGGATAATGAAGAAAAAATTGGCAGAAAAACTGCTCTCTCATTATAAGTATACAATCTAGGAAAATCTGTTGTATTTCTGTGCTTTAACCTTTAAATAATTAGAAAAATTAGAGTTATAATGCCTACTTAGAGACAGCCTTTGCAATATAATGCAGCATAGTGCATACTTTTTATTTTAACTGTTTCATTTTCTGTTTGTGTTGCACATTGCCCAGGACCCAACTAACAGATGAGTGCCCAGTGGGTACTTGCCGTTGCAAGTCAGTCCCTCAGAGCAGTGCAAGTTATTATTGTAACCTGCTTTGCATTCATACTAATCATCTGCTTTTATGCAGCTGTTCTATTTTGGCTTAGGGATTTTTTTTTCCTCCCCCTTAGGACTTCAGGATATTGTTTCATAGGTGCTTCCTGCAGGTTTTCACTCTTAATATTCCATCCTCCTTGCTGATGGCTTATTTAATTTAAGGCTTGTGGTGTTGTTTCATTTTTATAGTCAAATTCCCCCCCTACAGTGTAATACAGGAAAAAAAAAAGATTTAAATGACAAAGCTGTGAGACTATCATGATATTTGCAAGCGTTTCCTTGTGCTCGCAGCTCACATGCTGTCTCCCTTTCTCCCTGAGACCTACCCATTCAAGTATGTTTTGTTTTGTTTTTCAAAAAGGCAGCAGTAGCTACAACGATAGCTGGAAGAAGCAAAAGATTTATTGCTTTCTTAGGCAATCTGTATGTAGCTTTTATTGTCATTCTCAGTGCTGTTATTCCTAAGAAACCCACTAAGATTTCAGTAAGGAAGCTTTCTTTTGGGGGATTAAAATCATGGAAATCTTGGGAATATCTGAGAAGTCTAATTTCATATTGTCTTCAGATTTATAAGTTATTAGACGTTTGAAGAAAGCTTTACTGCTAAACACCATGGATCTTGCAATTCCTGTTTAGTAGTGATATCTTGCAGCACTTGAGTTTTTCACTTTCGTTGATCACCTTTCACAATGATTTGCTGTGATTTTTTTTTAGTTAATCTCACAACCTTAATGTCTTGAGTAAGCTACACCAAGGTAGCTTACTGCCTTTGTGACAGGAGTGAAGATGGAGACCAGTCACTTGGCAGACATGGATTTAGCTTGCACTGCTGTCACAGGATATACTCCTGACCTCCTCTGCCTTGCAGCAACTCTGGGAGGTGAACTCAGATTTCAGGTTACGAAGAGTGAGAACCTGAGTGCTGCAGCTGGGGAGGCAGCAGCCAGGAGGGAAGAGGGAAGATAAGTGGGAAAGACCAAAAAAAAAAAAAAAACCCTAAAAAACTCTGCCTCTCTGCCTGGACTTACAGGTAGCTAGGGTTTTAACCTGAAAGCCCTAATACAGAGCACATCCAGAAGTACCCTGCGTGCTGAATTTTTAGAATAAAAGATAATGAAGAGGATCACAAATTACTTCTTGAGTAGTGCAATTTTTTTCTATGACACTGGAAATCTAAGTGATGTGTTTTAAGAAGGGTTAGTCATCGCATTTTTTTTTTACAACCAAATGGCTGTAAGTTATGCGCTGAATGTTTCAAATATTAAGCCTCACTGAGAAAATATGTGCAAGCTAATTTTTCAATTAAAAGGAGAAAAAGGGAATTTACTCTCTTAGACACTCCACCCTCCCAACACAGGATGCAAATGCCTGCTAGAGAATGATTCTGTTAATTTTATTTGGGCAGCATCAAATACCTGCATGCAGAAGAATAATGAATAACCTTAGGAGCAGTAATATGGTTAGAAAGTATCTTACATATAATCTTTTCTACCACAATCCCACTTTTCCCAATTTCTGCCACT